TCCACTATCATGATCTTTGTCTTTGATATGTTTAATTGCAGACCAAATATTTGGCTTTCGTTTTCGATCAGTCGTATAAGTTCCATCAGCTCTGCTTGATTTGCAAGAAGGGCTGTGTCATCTGCGAAACGTAGGTTGTTTAGTTTATGACCATTTATTGAGATGCCCTTTTCCCATCCTTCAAGTGCTCTTCGCATAATATACTCCCCATATATGTTGAATAATTGTGGAGATAGTATACATCCTTGTCTGACACCTTGTTCTGGATGAAACTCGTTCGAAAGTGTGTCAAGTACTTTAACTGATCCAGTAGTGTGTTCATATAGTTCAGTTATAAGCGTAATTAGATGTTGTGGTACTCCTACTTCTTTTTGTATTCGCCATAAGTGTCTCCACTTGACCCTGTCGAACGCTTTACGGTAATCTATAAAACAGATCTGAGTATACGGCCCTGAAAATAAGCCTCAAACAAACCGTTTTATGACCAATTACAACAAGTAGTAGATCAAGTCAGAGGGAAGATGATAATATTGGGAGATTTTAACGCTCGAATAGGCAATCAAGTAATAGGTACCCGGAATTAAGCAAAAACATAACGAGGATGTCAAAAACGAAAATGGAGAACTGATGCGCTAAATGTATACGATATAAATGTCAAGATGGCTGATTATAAAGATATAGCAAGAGAAATGTAGAAAAATATATATCCTTGAGACGACGTAGTAAGCAAGGTCTAATCCCTGTATTGTAGAAGAAGAATAAAAAGAAAAGAGTTCTATTATAGCTTTTATTTCAAAATCAAAATCTAACTATTCGTTCAAACCTTCGAATTAAACATACTAATGAACTACAAGGAACAGTAAAACCTAAAAACTATCTACTCCAGTCATAACAAATTAGCATGCAAGAATACTTACCAAAAATTAGGATGCTAAACAAATATTTTATCAACTGGGAAATCGGACAGTTTATAGATCACGCAGCGGTAATAAGAGTTTCTGAAAAACCTAATACTGACGATTATTTCATGGACTAGTTAGTACCGTTCTATTTTCAAAAGGCCTTCAGATATGGCAAAATCTAACGCCGTCTTGAAATAGCTCAGGCCAATAAATGGGTGAAATGAATAAGATTGTTAGATTGTAAGGCATATCTCTCTAAGCTTCATGCTCTTAAATAGAATGTTTGTAGTTTATAAAACTTATAGTTTTCTTTTTTATACATGAAGGTACACTATCCGTTTCTTTGTCGGTACTAAGAAAACTACATAAAAAATGTATCTATTGCAATGTTTAATTTAGTTTTATTCTTTATCAAGCTTTTATACAACTCTTATATAGGTAGTTTTATGCTTTTATTTAAGTCAGATGTGTGATTCATTGGTACTTAACATTAGATGTTGTTCAAGTAAGCCGTGAAAGAAAATGACCCAAGAAAAAATACATTATTATAAAAATATTTTTATTTTTATAAAAATATATTTAATACAAAGAAAAGTGTAATAGAATATTATTTAGAAAGACAGAGTGTTAAGAGAACTCTTAACAACCCTTATTTTTAACCGAATATAAAATATAAGGGATGTTATTGGTAAAGCCGCATATACAACATTTATCGATACTGGACATATTTGGTATATTTAGACTGACTGGTGAGCCAGGGTATAGCTTGTCTCAAAATATAACGTCTTGGCTTTCTTCTTCTTTATGCGCCGTCTTCTACCGAAGGTTGGCGACCATCATACGATAGGTTTCTCTGTTTTATGCCGCATGAATTATGTTCGCAGCTTCTGGTATTTGAAACCATTCTCTAAGTTTCTCAGCCAGGATTTCTTCTTTCTGCCCAAACCTCTTCTACCTTCAATCTTGCTTTCCACGATAAGCTGTAGCAGACTGTACTTATCATTACGGAACACATGGCCCAGGTATGACGCTTTCCTCCTTTTAACAGTTGTTAACAATTCCACCTCTTTACCCATTCGTCTTAATACCTCTGTGTTGGTCACTCTGTCTGTCCAAGGTATTCTCAGTATGCGTCGATACAGCCACATTTCTAGAGCCGCTAACTTCTTTATAGTTGCTGCTGTTAACGTCCACCCTTCTACGCCGTAAAGTAGCGTAGAGAGTACGTAGCATTTCGTGGCGCGCCATCGGAGGTTAATGCTTAGGTTGCGGTTGCTTAAGAGCTTTCTCATTTTGATGAATTTGGATCTTGCTATTTCAATTCGGATCTTAATCTCTACTTCTGGGTCCCACTTGTCATTTACTGTATATCCCAGATATTTAAATCGGTGTACTCTTTCAATACGTTCGTCTTCAATATGCAGGTCGATATGTTGAAATTTTTTTTTACTGATCACCATAAATTTAGTTTTCTTTCTATTGATCTTCAGTCCAAATCGGTTGCCAGTTGTATTAACTCTATGTAGCATCATCTGTAAATCTTCGATGTTATCGGCCAGTATAATAGTATCATCTGCATATCGAAAATTACTTATTGGTACGCCATTAATCTTGATGCCCTCATTGTACTCTTCTAGTGCCTCTAGAAATATTTGCTCCGTGTACAGGTTGAAAAGCAGTGGCGAAAGAATACAGCCCTGTCTTACCCCTCTAGAAATGGTTGTTTTCACTCACCATATGTCCATTCTTCATGTGGGCTGTCTTGGCTTTCCCCTCTTCAAAGTGTTATTATTGCCATTGCCATCAATGAAATAACCAAAGTTATTAGTTCTTAGTGTCAGAGGCAGACCCTAGGTAAAAATAATAATACAGCGATTTTATTTCAAGTCCTCCATTTTATTGTAAAAAAATGTTTTATTGCATAAATTGATAGCTATAGAAATCATATACAAACATTAATAATAAATATAATTCCATGTCTAATTATGTTTCACTGTCAGGGTCCTCATTTGGATTAATTACAATGGGTTGTATATTATAACTTTGCATAGACAAATAGGACTGTTAACTTTTACAATATGTTGGTCTGAATTTTACCAGCTCTCTATATGTTTTATCTTCTTTTTCTAGTACCGTCTCCACTAATGAAGATTTGCTATAACCATTGTAAATTAGTCTCTTCTGCTTTTCTTAAGAGCGTCTGTGTTAACCCCGTCCAGTCGCGAATGTTTTTCAGCCAGGATATTTGTCGTCTACCAAGATCCCTTTTTCCTTCGATTTTACCCTTCATAATCAGCTGCAATAACTCGTACTTATCATTTCTAAATATGTGCCCCAAATATGCTGCCTTTCGCCTTTTAATGGTAGTCAAAAGTTCTCTGTCTCTTCTCATTCTGTGCAACACCATTTCGTTCGTAATACTTCAAAATTCTTTTAAAAGGCCACATCTCAAATGCTTCCAGTTTTCTCATTAAGTCAACATTAACAATCCAGGCTTCGACACCATTAAGCAGAATAGAGTGGATATAGCATTTTACCATCCGATATCGGATTTGCAGATTGAGTCTTTGGTTATTCAGAAATTTCCTCATCTTCAAAAAGGTTAATCTTGATTGCTTTTTGTTCATAGAATTTATAACAGTTTTAATTAACTGTATGATATTTGCACTCAGGGGTCAGGAGAACTATTTTGCGCTCTCACCCTTACTTTGACTTGATGCTACATTTGCTCAATACGGTTAAATACACAATCGTACTGAGGAAGACGTAACACTGTATGCCCTATTTGCTTCGCGAAGTTATCACATACATATTGCTTTTTAATATCAAATAATGAACACTTATAGTAGTTGTTCTTTGTTATAACTAGTTCCAAAATAAATATCATTTTTTAAGAAATATTCACGAATTTCAGTTTTAGTACTTGATCTTTTTGGCGGTTTTGTAGCTGACGACTGTGGCAGCTTGCGTTATCTATGACCATTAGCCTACTTTCAGAAATATTTTTCAAACGAGAATTTTAAAAACAATTTTCAAACAGTTCTGCACTGGTATCTTGATGATAGTCTAAGCTAGTCTTTGATATTATTCGAAGATAAGAGCAAGCAGTTTGAAACTCACCCGTCTTTCGAACCGACGTGAATGACTGTTAAGCGTTTTCCTTTATTTTCAAGGTACTTTCATCTGTCAGTTTTTACTAGAATCGACCCATCTTTTGCATACTGTATCATGAGTATCAAACCATGTTTGTTTCACCAGATATACTCGTATGATAGGTAGACATTTTAAGTGTAAGTTTCTAACCTACACTTCCTAATTTCAGAGGGATACTCACCTCTCCAAGTGAGCAGTCTATGTAATACCATTACTACTGCTTTTCTACTCATCGTACAATACTTAAAACCCATTTTAAAAATGACTCTATGAAGGGTGACACGACTTATATCTATATTTGTTTTTTCTTCCTGTAACTTTAATTTAGCTTTATGTAACGTAGGAAGTGTCTGATTTTCATAAAGGGAATACATTCATCTCCTTTAATATCATGTTGAGTACTTTCCAAATGATGAGACTGAAAATCACTACGTATTTTTCATCCTGTCAATGGATCTTTGCTTAAAATATCCTTTATCGACGATATTGGCGATTTTCTCTCACAACATCTTGTTTGATTAGGCCTCTATTTAAAGTATGTTGAGCGATTATTTTCCCATGGACGAAAAATATTTGTTACGAACAAACTTCACTAATATACTGTACACACAGTAGCAAGTATAGATTTTTAATGACTGATCCTACCTATTAATTTTAATTCGCTCAACATTATCCGTACCTGATTCAATTCTGAGCAGTCGGGTACAAATTTTAAAACGTGTTTATCTATTAATAATGGCAATAATGCCACTAATCTTTTAACAATAGGAAAGACAAGACGATATATTTTGAGACAAGCTATACCCAAATAATAATAATATAACAGTAAATTTGTCAATTGGATATCGAGACAAAATAGTGAATATATGAAAAGGTATCCTGAAGTCAATAACAATCGACAAACTACTCTTTCACCTTGTCAAGTAAGTGCAATCAAATACTTACTTTCATCATTTGGTTGCCATTGGTCTTGATTTGTCCAGTCGTCGTCGAATTCCAAATTTGTATTTGCACTTCTTTCTTCAGAAGTCTGAACAATTGGAGAATCACTATCTGTTACGTCAAAAATTTCAGTGACTTTAACCTGAAACAAAATATTATTTATTATTGTTCTGAAACCATTCTGGTGATATTTTTATTTCATGTACTATATTGTTTTTACCCATCTTAATACATTAATATGTGTAATCTTTAAAATATCCATTTCTGTCTGTCCGTCCGTCAACGCAACTCCTCCGTTATTAGAATATATAGAATGACAAATGACATATGACGTAGCATGAAAGCTTATAACCCAAAATTATTAATCAGAAAAAAGAAATCATTGGTTTAATCATGAGTGCGAAATGGCCACAAATAGAAAGAACGCAGCATATCAAAAAACCATTGACGCAGGTTGTACACATAGAAAAAGAGAATACGAATACGAAGAGAACACTCTCAGTGAGATACAAAGTTTATTCGATAAAAATGAAACGAGGAAATACTACAAATCCTTAAATACCACCCGTCGAGAATTAAAACACGATTAAAAATGTGTAAAGACACTAACGGTGAAATTCTACATGATAAAAACTCAGTTCTTAACAGATGGGCACAACATTTCAGCGAACATCTAAATATAAACGTTATTGACGGAGATTATAACATAGAAAATCAACAAAATCTACAACGTCAACTACACAGTGAAGACCCAACAAGAGAAAAAGTGTCAAATGCGATCTTAATCAAATACCATAAAGTCCCACGAATCGATGAAATCTGCTCGGAACTGTATAAAAAAGGTGGTGATCAAGTTTTTGCAGCCATAAACTAATAGTACTTATATGGCAGAATGAATGGGTACCAGAAGAGTGGCTGAAGGGAATAATATGCCCGTTGTATAAAAAGGGTGATAAACTGGAGTGTAAGAACTATAGAGGCATTACTCTATTAGCATCTGCGTATAAAATCTTCGGCAATGTATTATTTGAAAGACTTAAACATTTTACTAAGGATATTGTTGGTCAATATCAATGCGGATTTACTGCTGGAAAGTCAACTACACATCAAATTCAAGCACATAGCCAGATTCTAGAAAAATCACTAGAATATAACATAGATACACACCATCTCTTCATTTACTTCAAAGCAGCCTATGACAGTGTAAAAAGAACTGCATTATATAATGCAATGATATACTTTGGGATCCCAGTTAAGTTAGTTAAGTTGACCTAACTAACAATACAAAACGTAAGCTCATGTGTTAGAACTGAAGGAGAAAACTCTACGTCTTTGACATTAACAATGGTCTAAGACAGGGGGACGCGTTGGCGTGTCTTCTCTTTAATATTGCCTTGGAAAAGGCAATTAGACAATTAAATATTAGAATGAATGGAACTGTTTTTAATAGATCGACGCAAATTCTCGCATTCGCTGACGATATAGTTATAGTGGGCAGAAGTATGAGAGACATGGTGCAGTGTTTTTCAAATCTTGCGGACGCAGCAAGTGAATTAGGCTAAACGAGGAAAAAACCAAATATATGTTGGTTTCTAAAAACCCTCGAAATATCCAAGTAAAAGAATTTACATATCTTGGATCGCTAGTAAACGTAACAAATACGACAAGCGACGAAATAAGACGCATAGCAATAGCAAACAGAACTGTTCACGGTCTCCAGAAACATTTAAAAAATAAAAATATAAAACGTACAGTAAAGCTTAATATATACAAGAACTTAATAAGACTTGTTTTGATATATGGGGCTGAAACGTGGACCTTATCTCAAAATGGTGAAAGACTTCTTGGTATTTTTGAAAGAAAAATTCTTAAAAACGACCATGAATGAGATGGATTGATGATGTTGAAGAAGACCTACAGATTTTAAGGGTTAGAAGATGTAGGGAAGTTGCGAGGCATCGACAGGAATGACGACTTCTTTATGAGCAGGCCAAGATCCACAACGGATTGTCGAGCCACTTATGATGATGATGATGATATTAAAGGTGAGAAAGTTGATCTCGGACTTCCGGTTCCAGAGTTGCAACCGGAAGTACTGCTTAAAAGTCGCTGATATAGTACAAGCGATAATATTATTCGACGCGACTTCCGGTTTCATGCTTGTCTGTCCGTCCGTCCGTCTTTCTGTCCTCTGTCTTCTGTCAACTCCTCAGTTGTGTTCGCGGAATCTACCTTTTGAAATTAGATGGCGTTGTAATGTCCTATATATTTATTTTTATAATTATATTTTTATGACTAGATATTTATTTTTAATCCAGCGCTTCTGCATATGTCACTCTGAGGAGATTTAAGAAGGTCGAAATATGGATCAGCGGATGTCAGTGGCCCTGCATTGAAATTAAATCTCAAACGTCTTTCTGCTTTATTTATTTACTTATTTATTTACTCATGTTTGGAGTATTAGAAACTAATTCTCGAATTATATTTGCCGTGGTGGACGACAGGTCGTGGAATGCCAATTGTAGATTTCCGTTGTCGATATATTCATCAATCTGTCTGCTTTATATAATATTGTAACAATCGCAGCAGACAAATATTTTAATTTTAGTTTCGCCAAGTAAGAAATCATAAAAAGCATCAAGCAGAGAAAGCTGGAATATTTCGGACATGTTATTATTATTATTATTTACAATAGATTTGAGCAGGGGTTGCAAAACCCATATGCCCATGTGACTACAATGTTATATAGTGTACAATTAAATTGTTACATTACAGTAGTTACATATTAAGCGCTAACTAACTAAATGAATATACAATAACATAGGTAATAGCAAGTGTTTAGTACAAATTAAATGTTCAACTATGGAACAAAAGGTCATCCAGTTTGTTTTTGAAAATATTGACAGACGGAGCATCTATGATCTCAGCCGGAAGGCTATTCCATATCGAGAACACTCGATTACAGAGAAAAAATTGTCTGGTTGTTGTTAAAAAAGTTTCCTTTTTAAACTTAAGTTTGTGGCCACGAAGACGATTGTCATTGTCTATTATGAACATATTCCCCAAATTTCCAAAGTTGTATTTTACTATCCGAAACGTAATAATTAAATCGCCTCGAAGTCGACGTTGTTCAAATGTAGTGAGATTGGCCATATTCAGTCTTTCTGTATACGTAGGTCTTGAGCGACCAAAAGACATCCTGGTGCACTGCCGCTGTACGTTTTCGAGAATATTACGATCGCGCACTAATACTGGACACCAAACAGTTCCGCAATATTCCAGAACTGGACGAATGTACAGTTTATACAGATGAATTGAGCTCATAAATGACATTTTCGCAAACGTTTTATTTAGTAGATATAATTTACTGTTAGCTTTTTTAGAAATATGCAAAATGTGTTCCGACCAACTTAGATTGTTATTAATTATAACGCCTAGATCATTATGCGATTTCACTGTTTTTAACACGCGCCCATTAATAGAGTAAGGAAGACACGGATTATTTTTACCCATGTGAAGAACTACACATTTTTCCACATTAAGAGGCAGCATCCAGGTAGAGCACCATTCCGATATGCAATCAAGGTCATCTTGTAGTAACTGGAAATTTACGGAGGGATCGGAAAATAGCTTCGTGTCATCTGCATAGAAAGCATTGTTGCATTTAATATGAAATTGTAGATCACTTGAGTATGCTATGAATAAGAGTGGGCCCAAAACTGATCCTTGCGGTACCCCACTTAAAACCGTTCTCTCAACTGAGAAAGAGTCCCCAACTCTAACACAAAATTTTCTATCTGTTAAATACGCGTCGATCCATTTCAGTAGTTGACCACGGATACCAAGGTGTTCCAATTTATGTAATAGTCTTCGTTTTGGAACTCTATCGAAAGCTTTAGCAAAATCGAGGTATATAATGTCCACCGGGGCTTTTCTGTCTAATGCTCTTGACCATTCATTGACACACCAGAGAAGATTTGTCATTGTAGAACGTCCTTTGACAAAACCATGCTGCTGTTCTGGTATAACCAGTTCATTTTGCAGAAAATCAGAAATTGTCTCGGCAATAATAGTTTCCATTATCTTAGATATTATAGGTGCTAAGCTGATAGGACGATAGTTATTATGATCCAGTTTGTTCCCTTTTTTAAAGATCGGTGTTACAGATGCGGTTTTCCATATAGGAGGCAAAATATGTGTGGTGAATGATAGGGACATAATCACATATAGTGGATAAGCTAAAGCATCAGAACATTTCTTTAAAAATAAAGAAGATATTAAGTCGAGACCAGGAGACGAATTATTTTTTAGGCTTTGAAGATGATGTTTAACTTTTTCAGGAGTAATGATTATATTTTCAAGAGAAGAAGAAACTCGTGACGAAGTAATATTGGGAACTGATAATTAGTGGGTTCAACAGAGAAAACCTTGGAGAAAGTACTGGCGAGAAGTTCGGCATTCTCATAGTTATTTTGGGATATATCCCCATTATCATTTTCCAGTAAAGGTATAGAAACTTTTGTTGTCAACGAAGATCTAATATACTTGTGCAATTTTTTACAGTTATTACTGATGGCTATACTCTCTTCGTAGGCAACACGAGCTTCATGTAAAGATTTCTTTAAATCTCTGGCAAAGTCTCGATGAATTTGTAAATCCTCTATGCGATTTGTACGTCTATATTTGTTCCACAACTTTCTTTTATACTTGATCAGATATATTAATTCCCCATTAATTCAAGGTTTTATGTTATTTTTGTATATGGTTTTTTTGAGGGTATTTTGGTTTTTGCATAAATTAACAACCTGTAAGAACTTATCCTAGAATACAACTGGATTCCTTATGTCGCCGAAAACATCATTCCAATCAATGTCGGTCAGTTGGCGATTTGCATTTTCAAAATCAATTATTTCATATACCGTTTTATTAACATTAGGATTAGGAGTACAGAACTGTAAGTTAAACTGAATATGAAACGTTATGACTGCATGATCTGAGTTACCTACTGGAGAGCTTATTAAGGAATGTGTTAATAAATGGGGATCATTAGAGAATACCAAGTCCAAAATAGATGGTAAATTATCGATTCTGAAACGAGTCGGCTCCGTTATGAATTGATGTAAATTAGAATTTAGTACAAAATCTGTAAATGCGTTTTTGGAAGTTGTTAAGCCACTAGGTGGATCAGTTATAGGCCACGAAATGTCTCTAAAATTAAAGTCTCCAATAACAATTAAATTCTCTAGCCTAGACAGTTCATCAAGTGATGCGATAAGGGACTCATCATCTGCTAATCTAGAATCACCAGGCCGATAAACGCATACTAGGTGAAAAACAAAAGAGTTTTTATGACATATTTTTAAGCCAAGAAGTTCCATATTAGGGACAGTAATATCAAGAGATGTAACAGAGAAATTATTAGTAATTTCTGAAGACAAGTAGATACAAGTTCCTCCTCCACGCCGATTACGACGATCACACCTATAAAGGGAATAATTATCAATGTTATAAAGGGAGTCAGGATCATTTGGTGTTAACCATGTTTCAGTGATAAGAATTATTTGAGGATTTAGGTTTTGAATGTTGCATAAAAATTCATTAAATTTGGAATTTAAAGTAGCTAGATTAGTATAGAAACAGAGCCAATTATGAAAACCTGAAATATCAGAATTAGTGACGAAAGTTTACAATTTTCGGGACACCTTGTATATATTTTATGGTTAAATTTTCCTCTCCATTCGATTTTCTCTGTTCCAGTTCCACTCGAAGTTCTTTTAGGCATTCTATTTGATTTGGAGTCTTATCGTCGATAATGGAAACGTTTTTTAAAGAGACGTTTTGTAAAAGTTTCTTTTTGTTCTTCAAAATATGTTTGGCTTCATGTTCATTTTGCATAATAACCTTTATCATCCTAGGGAAGCGATTGTTTGGTTTTCCAGTCCTGAAAAATGTGACAGGAGTGGAGTTAGACATTACAGTATCTAAAATATTTTTTAATATTCCATCATCGTGACTTTTCTTTGTTTCAATGTCTCCTGTAATTTCGGGTACACCCCTAACAAAAATATTCTTAGCCCGGTTAATGCGATCAACTGTTTCATTTGCTATGGTATCTGTAAATTTTGGAGATGAAGAATGATCCTCAATAGATAACTTGTTTTCGATCTGTAAAAGTCTTTCACTGATATCATTAGCTTTTTGGTCTATTAGATCAATTTTTGATTGAAGATTCTCTTTTAGATCTTTTAAGAGCGTCTTTAAATTAGCAGTTTTCGATATTAGAGCAGCAGTTGTTGTAAAGAATTTTAATTCCGCGTAGCTTATGCCTAGTAACGCGATCTTCGGCTCGTAGATCAGTGCAAGCTAAATGTATGTTCTGTTTACATGCTTCACATTGAAGTTGTTTTGATGATTCTCGATCATCGATTGACTTTGAACAGTTAGCGCAGGTCGACACGGTGGGAACAGCAGAGCAGCAGTGGGAGTGAATCGCCGTAAATAGATATAAACAAAATAAAAAGACTGACCTTGCAATCTGTAGATAATCCAAAATACGGGATCTCTGATGCACTTTATGACGAAATAAAAACACCACTGGTAATAGAAAATTCTTATGTTTAAACTGATATAAAAATGATCGTTAAACTCAAACAATAACCAACTGTAGTTTGTAATAATTCACAGGGAAACGTAAATGATGCCACACACACTACTATTACTATATTCAAACTGATGTAATGAGAGGTCCCAAATATAGATTGCTACAAAATATCATGCAAGGAAAAATAGCAGGCAAACGAAGTCCAGGACGAAGAAGAACCCCATGGTTGAAGAACTTGTGAGATTGGTATGGTGTAGATACAAGCATGCTATTGAGGGTAACAGTGAATAAAATTAAAATAGCTATGATGGTAACCAACGTTCTGAAAGGACATGGTACATGAAGAAAAAGAAGTAAGAAATCTTCGGATTTTTACTAATTTTTTTATATTTATATTACTTATTTCTTAGATCATACAAACCAGGTTATGATGGTATAAATTTATGTTCTTTACATGGAACATTTACAAACCATGTTTTAAATTTAAATTATTAGTGTAATAAAAAATTAACGTATTTTTTTAAATTCATCTCAAGCGTTTCCAATATTAAAATATCTATCATAAACCTTATGTAGAGTAGAGACAGAATAGAAAGTTTTAAATAAACAAAAATATTATATAGGTCACCAGATAGAAAGGACATCTTACAGCTACAAATGAATATTTACATGACATGACGATTTGAACCCCTTGCGTTTGACCTTTCGAGATTAGACTATTATTATAACAGAATCAAAAGTTACGTCTGTTGAAATACAAATAGCGACAAAATTAATCTTTGAAGATGTTGCAAAATGATATGGTTGTTGAATTTAAAAAAGCCTAAAATATACCAAAGTGGTTAAAAGAAAATAAATATTTCCTACAATTCTTCTTTTCGGTTTATAATTAGTATAATATTATGTGTAGTTAGCCGATTCTCATCCATTCTTTTAATATGTTTTTTGTAAAAGTTTGTGTTAAATGTCTCATAAATCAGACTCTTTCATATATAAGAAAGATTATTTACATAATATCTGTGACTCCGACCCGTCACTACTTTCAAAACAATTTGAATGGAACGAAGTGTTGATCTTAATCCGGAATCAGATAACTCGTAGAATAGCGCTCTTCGTTGGTTTAAGTAGGCAAAAAGAAACAGAAAACCGATATTAACTATCAGAAAAGAGACAACGGTTGACACCCCACGTTACTGTGACATTAGTAAATATTTGCATTTTGATAAATGCACTCGACCTATGCCAAAATGTAGTCGGACTATTCCCACAATACATATCCAATAGTAGTGTAAGTGGAAGAGGATGGATGGTGATAGTTAAAAGAAGCCATAAGTATCATTCTTACATTTTGTCGAGATAATATTGTAATACTCTCTGATATTTTTCAATCATGAACATCTTTTCCTGCCAGTACAGTCGCTTCCTACAATTTTACCCTCCATCAACAACCTCAAGAGCTCATAATGCCTTCTCCAGTACAAATGTCCTAAATAACTGGTTTTGCGCTTCTTGATAATGTTAAAAAGTTCTCTGTTATGGTCCATTTTACGTAATACTGCATCGTTAGTGACATGGTATGTCCATGGTATTTTCAGGAGTATATGTTCCGAAAGGTTTTCGCTGTTAGTACAATTAAACTAAAATTAATACTATTACAGGAATTAATATTAAACTAAACAGTCTTCCGAGTTGAACCGCGTTGATTATCATTGCGCCGAGCTTTCGATATCCTCTTTGATGTCTTCTTTCCGAAGTCTGAGTACTGCAGTACCATCGATGTAGAAAAGGGAGAGAATTTTAGAGAGAAAATCGTGTCTTTTAATACTTAAAATGAAGTGAGTACGAATAGCCCTGCTATAATTCGCGAAAAACGTACGTCACTTATTAAGTGACAACGTACTTTTATAAATGCAATTTTGTCAGCATAAATTATTTTTTTTAATTTCATTTTTCAATTTCTCCCACCAAGAAAGAAATACCTAAACGTAATAAATAAAGGCCAAATTTAAGGAAGTAATTTATGCCAAAAAGTCAGTACTTCAATGTTACGTCTACATTTACATGCATTTTTACTTACTTTATTATTTTCGTCCAAATAATAATAAGCCATTATAGTATCATGCTGTGATGTGACTTGTAGGATGTGGTCAAATGTATCGTTGTCCATGGATTCAGTCCTATTTACAGTAAAACTCGGTTTCCGTTGGAGAATTTCCTTTGTGTTGAACTTTCGTACTGGGCTTTGGTTTAATGGTAAGTCTCTGAAAAATAAACATTGCAATAATTTTTAATGTCAGTTATAAAGTAAAATATAAAATGTATAATTTTTATGAGGTGGCATTCATTGAAAATATGAACATGAATTGAAACTGGAAGGAACAGAAATCAAGAAAGGTGTAAAATTTCTACTGTTATTGGTATAATTTATAAAGTTAATAAAGTTATGCAAATATCCAAAAGGATTACAAATTTTCCACACTCTTACAGACCATCTTCAGTGATACCCGAAGGATTCACAAAAAGCCAAAAAACGGTATAAAAACATTTGATTTCAACTAGCTCAGTTGGCTGGTAACTGGTTTGACTTAGACGGTGTCGCCATTTCGAGTAAGGGTCAGTATGTTGCCTTTTGGGATAAATCTTTAGTCATCAACATAGCATCGCTTTATTTTTAATTTATAGAACATTTTTAATGTAAATCAAAAGTTTTTTACCGTTTTGTAAATGGCTATTTGCAAATGCTTCCAGTGTCCCTGATGGTGGTCTGATAGGACCAAAAAAGTTTTGAAAATTTGTAATCCTTTTATGTCTTTTCATAATTTTAATCATTTTATAAATTATAGATACCACTTATTACACTAAAAGTTTTGTACTTCATTGTAAGTTTTATTAAACTATGGAATACAGCCACCCACTGGAATTTTTTTCGATTTCTACGTCGGAAATCAAATCGACGAGTAAGACATATTTTGAATTAAAATTTGCCATTAAAGGGCGGCTTTGAAAAAACAAGTACAAGAAATCCTAGAATCCCAGAAAATTGACAACATGCAAAGACAAGGACGGAGAACTACCAACATTACAAAATTATAATAAGATGGAAAGAACACTTTGAGGAAAACCTAAATGCAGACAATGGAAATTATCAAAACGAGACTATATATTTATACGGCGGAGCAGCACATTGAAAATCCGAGTTATGAAGAAGTAGTTCAAATATTAAAGAAACTAAAAAACAGTAAAGCGCTAGGCACGGACGGAGTTTCGGCAGAATTGTTGAAATATAGAGGGCCTGAACTCTGGGGAAGAATCCATTAACTGATAAGTTGGTATGAACCAAGGAGCAAATGCTGGCAGAATGGGAAGTTGGTCTCATACAGCTAATATATAAAAAAGGAGATGGAAATGCCAGAATTACAGACCAATTACGTTGCTAAATGTAATATACAAAATCCTTTCTGGCATTATCTACACTAGATTGTCAGAATACTCTAAAAATAAAACTGGTGATTATCAAAATGGATTCAGACCAAATAGAGCCACTACAGACAATATAGACACAGACTTAGAAAAATACAACAGAAAGCTTATAAATACTACATAGAACCATAGAATATGTATATGGACTTTAAACAAGCATTTGATAGTGTGAAAAGAGACAAAATGCTGGAAGACCTCCGAAATCTAGGTATACCAAAAAATATATCAGACTCATATAAAAGACGTTGCAGGGTTCAAAAGCCGCAGTTAGAGTAGATAGAGAAGTGTCTCCCCTGTTTGCCAACATGAGGGTGAGACAGGAAGACGCACTTTCAATCATGCTGTTGAACCTATAATTCACCAAATATAGCTGAAAGTGTGAAACTCCCATTAACTGCACTAGCAATTAAGTGGTAACGCACATACAAACGGTCTGGACCGTTAGTGCGAGGTCCGTCGTTTGACGAATGCGCATCATGATCATGTCACGCGTTTTCACACTTTCAGCTATATTTGGCGAACTATAGTTCTTAAAGCAGTCATCATAAAAACCAATGTAACCGGCCATATAACCAACAAAACAGTACAAATTACTGCATATGCAGACGATATCGCCATTATTAGTAGAAGCAAGACACGACTAATGGAAACGTTCAAGGAAATTGTTCCTGAAGCGCAAAAAAGAGGGCTTAAAATAAACGAAACAAAAACTAAGTACATGACCATCAAAAGAACACCTGAGAATGAAAATAATATAGCAATCGACAACTGCACTATTGAACGTGTAGATACCTTCACATATCTGAGCACAGAAATCAATCAGAAGAATTCCGTAAGTAGCGAAATTAATGCACATATTTCCAGTGGAAATCGTACATACTAGGCTAATAAAAGATTGATGACATCGAAATTATTAGACAAAAGAACCAAAATGACTATATAGAACTTTGATTGGACTCGTAGTAACTTATGGTTGTGAAACCTGGGTAATAAAGAAAAAATAGGAAGCCCAACTCAAGACATTCGAGAGAAAGATACTGAGAAAACGGAGAAACGACGAGGTTAATGAACTAAATGAAGGGTATGCCATTGAAAGATTTATGAAAAGTCAATGACTGTCATGGCTGGGACAAGTTGAGCGACAAAAGACACGAAAACGACAAAGTATATGTTACAGTGGAAGCCGGTAGGAAAGCGGAAAAAAGGAAGGCCCAGGATGGAAAACTATGAATATAAGACAATGGAGGAGAAGGGCCCAAGAGAGATCTGAATAGAAGGACATAACCAGACAGGCAAAGACCCATCCAGGGTTATGATGCCAAAAGAACAAGAAGAAGAAGAAGATAATATTCTCAGTGCATGTGAAATACTTAGTGATACGAAATTGGTATATACCGGTCAAACAAGTATTGAGCCGGGAGAAATTCCTTATCTGTCCATAAGAAAATTACTGGCTTTTAACAAGAGCACCGGATTTATTATTGGAAAATAATGAAAAGCCAGCGTATGGTACAAAGGCTTATTGATCAAGTGCTAGAGAGTAGTAGTGTCGCCTAATGTCAGAAGAAAAAGACGAAGAGTGTTTTGTCAATTACAAATTTAAAACACAATAACGTTGTATCCTTTAATCGCGTTAAATATGCATAATCATTCGAGACAGGAATATTAAAGTAATGTTTATAATTTAAAATGTATTTTTTTAAGCAATTTGAATGTTTTGTAAAGCGTTTTTGAACAAATATCCGTTCGCGACAGAACGTTAGCGCTAGTGTACCTAATTATTGTACCTTGTACGTCAATAAGCTTAACTATTTATCATACAATTGGATCCGACATGACTTACCTATCCTCTAATTTTAAAGTGAAGTTAAGGTTCATTTTATTTCCATTTTGTACATCCTGGCATGATTCCACGTCGAATTTATCTAAAAATAATAAAATATGTAAGATTTTTCCATAATATGATAATTTTCCTAATTAGTGTTGTTTTATATTAATAAATAAATCTACTAATTTGTATAAGATAGTCTACTAATTATCTACTAATTTTTAAAGCTTTTTGTGAAAGCGCTATTGGGCGATGACTCTCGACTGACATTTTTTTTTATCTGAAGGTCAAATGTTATCAACAATAGGGAAATATAAACGAGTAGGTAAAATTAAAAGTTTTAACCGAAAATGTAAAATTATCGAAGATGGCCACGAAAAATCAAATTGTGGATTTTAAAAGATGAGGAAGAAATTATATTCAGGATACTAGAAGAAAAATGAAAGAGAAAATGAGTTGGACGTGAGTCCTAATCAAATATATCTTCCACCTCCAATAAAAATAAGATGTATATGTTTTATCAGTTTTTCACAATTGTATTTGAGGAATTCTTTTGAAAACACTTGTCGGAATGGAAAGTAAAACGCCAAGACAAAAAACAAAAAATGAAATTTTTATTATATTCATTGCAGTTTGTTCAAATTAACAAAATACTCAATGATAGTATGGCTAAATATAGCAGTATGGCAAAATACAAGAAAAAATGAGCTGTAACATGAAAGGAAGTCCTTAAATTTTTGAGGAACATGGCAGGTATAAGGTTAAACACAGACAGGGCGGTTTGCGCCGCGTCTGCGCCCCGTCGGCTGCCGCGCGGCTTAAAACACATTAGGCGGTTTAACAGTGGCAGTAATTTTGCCATTGTGTTCGGTGTTGTCAAATTTAGTAGTGTTATTGACGTAGAATGGTATAATGATGTCTCTAGAATCATCTAGTAAAAGTCACGACGGTTTGTTTTTCCCAATAAGTGCAAGTTTACTTAATATTAAATCAAAGAAGAAGAAGAAACGCAGGTATTGGATACATCCTATAGTAAATGAATTAAAAAATAAAGGAACGTTTTACACGTTAGTTAACGAAATTAAAGATGACCCAGAAAAGCATCTTCCGAAATAAAACTGTGGGTAACCTCTTCCCAAGTATGTTTCTTTCTTTATTTTATTCGAATATTCAAATTGTTGGCCGTGTGTGAATTTCGGTAATTAATTTATCGATGTCTATAGCTTCCATAATATATACAAAATTTGGCAACCACCCACAAAAGTACTCAAATAAAACCGTTGCAAAACAGTCACACGTCTGTGTTGAGGCACGAGATATTTATTACTCATGTGCCGCCAGAAGGCATAAAACCGCCGATGGTGCGTGGTACTCAGCATAGGCCGTGCGGCGGCCGACGCGGCGAGCTGAGTGTTGCACAACGTAAGTACCATAGACGAGAGACGCTTTCAACGCAGACGCGCGACGCGGCGGACGCCGCCCTGTCTGTGTTGAACCTAATCAGAGATAATGCAATTGCAATTTGGGAATGAGGAGAAGTAGTACTGGTCAAACGTTAATTATCCGTCATTCTAGCCAGATAATCATTTATAGGTTCAATGTTCCATGTATACTTATACAACATACTTAGACAAACTTCTTTAATGAGTTGCACAAATTAGGGATTTTCTAGTCAACATCACAGTCTTACTGAGTTACGGCAATGAAAAAATTATATAGTTTCATTCGGACCACCATACCGAATACTCTGTAGTAAATGGACTTAGTCCGATATCAAAATAAAAACACAAAAGACAAGGAAAATAAAAAAAGTGTAAAACAGTCAACAAGAAAAACATTGACACATATTTCTAACATTACAAGATCGTTAAACATTTTGTTAAACTAGGAATTTGACATAGGTAAAGACAGGTTGGACCAGATAATTTATATAAAGAAGAATTTACAGCGTTATTAGAGGCAGGAATAATTTGGACAGGAAGAGAAATAAAAGCCAGATGGATTGAGAAGCAGCAACTTGGTATATGTGCACAAAAACAAAGATGTGCAACAATGTACAAACTAGAGGGTCATCAACCATGAAAATACAAGCGAGAGTTATACGTGAAGAAACATAAATAGCCAAAAATAAGTTTGGATTAATGCAAGGCAGATCAACAACATGCAATTTTAATTACAAACATATTATTGACCTTAAAGAATAGTATGCTAGGAAGAGGTTTTACAACGGGCACTCAATAATTCTCTTTAGTGTTGGATCAGATAATAAGAAAATCCAAGATTCCTGGGTCCATAGAGTACGTTGACACTTAGTTTTGGAAGTACATACTAGGTTCAATAGGAAATACTGAAAGGAAATTACAAGAAAACCTGGAGCAATAAAACAAGCTCTGAAAGAAAAGAGGTTTAAGGATCAGCCGGAAAAATCCATAGTATCTAGAATGTTCATTTAAAGGAGTTACTACTACAACTCTGGACAAATGTATTTCAGAATTATATGGCAGATTATATTGAAAAATTTGGATGCCTTTTTGGCATAAACCATTTTTGTTTTTTCTTTTATGTTGTTATATTCATCGTCCTATCTTTTTCATCTGACATTATCACATTTTTCTCTAATCATTAATACCGAAGAATCGCTTTAACGCCTACAAGGCCATCTTTGTTTTTATGATGTCTTTCCTTTGCCAAATCATTTGGCACTTCACACGTAATGTTGAGATGTTTCAAGACAATAAAAAAGAAGAAGATTTTGAAAATGCAGAAAAGATGTGTTGAAGAAGAGAAGCTTGACCGTTGTCATGATAGTTGTCACGTGACATTAAAGTAGGTATAGTGGGAGGAGTCTGTCATCTGTGACGTCTTCTCTTCTCATCTGTTAACTTTTCCCTTTCATCTGTCAGCTGTTACCTTTTTTACATAGCAAATAGCAAATTGTTCGTTTTCATCCGCATCTGTAACATCTTCTTTTTCGTGGGCTATTCGTCTTCATCAACTATCTATTAGCCTTTTTCACATATCAGTTCTAATTTTTTTAATCTTTACGAAGCCATGATGATGTCACGAAGAATCTAGAGAAAGTTTTCGGTAATAATTATTTTATTGTGACATGTATTATAATTAATTTGTTGATAACTCTGGATAATAATATTATTGCAAAAAATACAAGTTTCTTTGATCAATATTGCAGAACAATGGGAAAATAGATTGAGATACACGCAATAGAATTGAAGGAGGATGGATGTAATGTAAGGAAGCGCATGGTGTGTAGTTTAACAGAGAGATTCCATAAAACTGCCATTAGACTCCACATCTATGATGTACTGCAATGAATGTTGGGTAGCTTAAAAGGAAAAAGAATAACGAATGTATGTTGTAGTAATGAGAATCCTTAGATGGATGAGTACAATAACAAAAAAAGATTGAATTATGAATTATTAAGGAAAGTTATTGTGGCACCAATTGATTTCGATGAAAGAGCGTAGGTTAAGATCGGAATACGGAAAATCGTGGAAGTTGCGAGTTCTTTAAAAGAGTAGGAACAAAGACCAAAGACGTCTTAGACGCTTAGAAAAGAAAACACATGCCTGTGAAGTGCATCAATATTAATGTGAACGAAGTTAGACAGTTAAGGAGGAATGTACCAAGAACTCGATAAAAAACTCGATTTAAAAGAGACCCGTAAAAAGGAGTTGATTCGGACCCTTCGCGACGCTCTTACTAAGTAAAACTTACTTTTACCGTATTCTGTAATCGCTAATTGGCAAGTAATTTTGGCGCTAAGTTGTTGTCGTTTCCTATTGATTTTCTTCAGCAGGAACGTCATTTTATCAATGAAAACTTTGCTCAATTCCCATGCTCCGTTTCCAAGTTGTGGGGCTGCTACCATAAATCTGAAAAAGAACGAACATGGTTTTTATTGATGGATTGAACAAACAAAAAGTAGTAGTAATTTATACTAAAATGGCACAAAATACTGAAGCAAACACGTACTATTATAGCAGTAAAAAATAAAACAGGGACGAGATTATTGGAAGAGGATTTGACTCAATTGGAAGCAGAACCGGGTAGGAGCTAACGGTACCAAAAAATAGGTCGAATATTCCCGTTAAAGCTCGTCAACTTCTTTCTTCATCAGTAATATTTTTTTAAGTTTATAGATTTCAGTCAAAGTAGGTTTAACAACAACATTTTTAATATCCTGGTCAACTGTAGCAACACGACAAGACGCCTTCGTAATGTGGTGTCTCAAAGGTTAATAGAAATTGTATGGGTCTTAAGAAGAGCTAATACGCAAATACAGTTAATAAACACTATTAAACAACACTATTAAAGACTCAACTCAAGCTATATTCTAAGCGAAGACAAATTTATTCTTTTGAATGACATCTTAATGGACAAATTGATAAATTTAAGGCGAAAGAACATCGGGTCGTACTCGTAAATAACACTAATAAAACTCAGAATTTCTCGAATAGACCAGAGTCGTAACGAAGAAATGAGAAACAGGATGTTATTACCTACCAGAAACAATTGTAGAGAAAAAACTCTTAGATGGTTTGGTCATTTGCTTGGGATAGAGAAATCAAGATGGCCGAAATGATTATTGTCCTGGCAATCCTTTAGAAGAAATAAAAGTATCCATTTTCTTCTGTCCATGGCTACAGTTCTCCAATTTATTATCCATATTGTTTGTAGGTCTTACAAGCTTCTAGCCATTTTTTTTTGTGGTCGTCCTCTTCTCTTCTTTCCTTCCACTCTCAGCAGCGAGTCCTTTGGCCATCTTCCGTCTGCTATTCTCGGAAGGTAGCCTAACCATCTAAGTTTCTTTGGTCTGACGATCTGGCTAATTTCTGGTTTCCCGTAGAGCTCTCCGATCTCTGCATTTGTTCGTCTCGTTGAAACGTCTTTATTGTCTTTCACTTTCCAGAAAAACTTCCTTACAACAATTCGTTCCCAGATGTTCAGCATCTTCTTGATTTTTGTTCACAACCCATGTTTCGCTTCCGTACAGGATCGTGGGCTGGATCACTGTTCGGTATAGTCCCAATTTTGCTTCTCTAGAGATGTTTTTTGCTCTTAGTAGTTTGTGTAGGGCTTTGAGCGTATTCCTTCCTCTCGAAATCCGCTTCTCAATTTCTTGGCTTTTCCCCCTTTACTTGTTAGAGTTATTCCTAGATACTCAACCTCCTTCACCTTTTTGAACCAATACTCTTTACTCTCGTTTTTTGACTACTCTCGTAGTCGTGGGTTTGGTGCCTGTCCCATTTCCATATACTTTATTTTTTGCTCAATAATAATCAGTCCATAATACTGTTTAGCCTTCACTTCAGAGTTTGAAAATCATTAGCCGTCCCCCTTTAGTTGTTGCCATTAACAATACATCGTCCGCAAAGGCCAGGCTTCTCTTGACATAAATCATACCTTTCGTTCGTAATTCTCTCTCTCTCTCTCCCTCATTGTTGCCTCCAGCAAGAAATTGAAGAGTATTGTGGACAGCGGATCTCCCTGCTTTAGTCTCCTTCTTACTTAAAATTTTCTTGTTAAGCTTCCTTCTAGCCTTACTCTATTGTCGGTTTTCATTAAGGTCATTTTTACTGGCTTGATCATTTTTCCAGGAATTATAAGTAAACTTTGATTAAATAAAAGGTAAATATCGCGCAGTTAATTAATTTAATCTTGCCCAAGTACTTTCGATCCCTAGACAAAAATGAAATGTCGTAAAAATAAAATGGTACATTACACTACACTTCTTCTTCTCGTGCCACTCCTAGCGTAGATTGGAAATCATCATGGCCACTGCGACTTTGTTAGCAGCGCGCCTGAAAAGTTCAATCGAACTACATCCGAACCATTCACGTAGATTACGAAGCCACGATATTTTTCTTCTTCCCACACTTCTTTTGCCCTTAATTTTGCCCTGCATGATGTTTCTTAAAAGTTCGTACTTTTCACCTCTCACAATGTGCCCCAAGTATTCCATCTTTCTAGTTTTAATCTCATTTAGAATTTCGCATCTTTTGTTCAAAGTCTGGAGCACTTGCGTGTTAGTGACGCGGTCCATCCATGATATTCTGAGAATGCGCCTATAGCACCACATCTCGAAAGCTTCGATGTTTTTGATTGTCAACTGTTTTAGTGTCCAAGCCTCAACTCCATATAACAGGGTAGAAAAGACATAACACCGCAGCATTCGTATTCGTAACTTTATATTGATATCACGATTGCAAAAGAGTTTGCGCATTCTATTAAAGACTGATCTAGCGATTTCTATTCTACATCTAATCTGTTTTGTTTGATCAGTATCGTCTGTGATCCAAGCACCTAGATATTTATAACAGGGCACACGCTCAATCGTTGTATTGTCTATTACAAGATTAGCTCTGATGTTCTTTGATTTCGTGATTACCATAAATTTAGTTTTTTTCAAATTAATTTTCAAGCCGTAACTGTTACAGTATATATTGAGACTTTGAACGAGATGTTGTAGTTCTGCTAGCGTTCCCGTTAGGAGAACTGTATCGTCAGCATACCTTATATTGTTGATCGTCTCACCATTTATTATCAGACCAAGATCTTCTTCCTCGAGTGCTTGTTCACAGATAGCTTCACTATACAGATTAAATAAAAGTGGTGATAAGATACATCCCTGCCGGACTCCTCGACGGATTTGAATTTCTTCTGTTAGTCTGCCCTCAACCTTGACATTTGCTGTTTGATTCCAATATAGATTGCATATAATTCGAATATCACGGCTGTCTATATTTTTCTTTATTAGAACTTGTCTTAGTGGTTCATGTTGTACTTTGTCAAAGGCCTTTTCGAAATCAATAAAGCAGGCGTAAATTTCTTGGTTCATGTCTAAGCATCTCTGTGAGAGAACGTTCATTGCAAACAGAGCCTCCCTTGTACCCAGCCCTTTTCTGAATCCCATCTGAGTGTTACTGATGTCTACGTCTAATTTCCTATAGATCCTATACTACACTACACTACACAGGGACAAACAAACACTTTAAATTTTTTTTGAAAAATAGGCGAAGCTACATTGTGTGCAGAAGCTGGAGACAGATTTCATTCATTCATTCATTTCATTCTGGACATTGCGACTTGATTGATTTTGGGCGTATACCTACTTTATATTTGTGTTTAAGTCCAAAATATCTAGGCTTCGTAGAAAACCTATACAAATAGATAAAACTAGAAGTCAATTTAGTTAATTCATCAATAGCTTGATGAATTATTTAACAAATTAATACGTAGAAAATATTACTTATTTTACGTGTTATATTTAAATAATTAATTTTTATTCAAATATATACACAAATCTGAATGTAAAAACCATTACTTTAAAATAAACTTCTACAAAAGATAACATAATAACGATTACTTTTACATACATCATTTGCCAAATAAGTGTTTCAAATTCAATTTCTAATAAAGATATAAAAGAAAAGGTCATTCACTGCCAGATGAAGAAGCAATTATAATGATAGAAAGGATGTTATATAATACAACAGTTATGTTACATTATTTATTAACAAAATTACGTTATGTAATAATATCTTTGAAACAGGTAACGTTCAAATTCTTCAACGTTTTCTTTCATTTTTCTGGTATTTAAGGTCGGAATTATAATTATAAAGAAAAGCTATTGAGGTTATCATCTAAATGAAAGGCGTTCTTGAACGACTATGGGTGGCAGTTTTGAAAGATGGCGAACGAAATAGGGATATCGTTTGTTCACATTGTAAATTTGATAGGGAATTTCAAAAGACCCATAGTTGAAGGGCAAGCAAGCTCATTATTTTTAAAATTTGATGAAATTTATAGCAGTTTTAAACTATTAACTTTTAAACTACAATTTATTCAATTTTTTGACATTTACACCCTTTTTTATTAATTATCTATTTTGACACCAGTTGGCAGCACTCTCGTTTGAGAACGCGAATAGTTAAATATATTTAACCGATGCCTTCGTAAAGAGCTGAAGAGCTTTTATATACCTAGTTAAAATAAATTTGACAAAAGTAATGGATGTAAGTAAAGTAAAGTAAAGTACTGTAAAGCACAGATGATGTTTTGTTTACTGTCAACCTAACCTCATTTTTACGCTTCCGATAATATGTGCTCACTCAAATGTCCTGTCGTGGTTGTCAAAACTCTCTTGACAATTTTAGATATATTTGTGGTATTTTTGTGATTAAAAACAATAAAGAAACGTTAAACGGACTTTGCGAAAAATGTTTATGTCATACTTTGGAACTAAACTTGGTGATCAGGATAAATCTTGGTCGCCGCATAAGGTTTGGTAGGTATATATTATATGTTGCAAAGAATCAGATCGACGACGTATAGACGCCTTTGAAATGTGGACATGGAGACGCCTGCTTCGAATTCCATGGACGGCTCGCCGTACAAATATCTCGGTTCTGGATGAAATTAAACCCGATCAGCGTCTCTCTAGTACCGTTTACTCTAGGATTTTAAAGTTCTTTGGCCATATCCATCGAAGTGATCACAAAATGGAGCGGTTGGTGGTCCAAGGAAGGCCTCAGACTCAACGCCAACGCGGAAGATCTCCACAGCGATGGGCGGACATTACTAAAAAGCTTCTCAATAAACAGTATACTGAGGCAATACATATAACTGATGACCGCGACCAGTGGAGAAATATTATCAATCAAACTGTCCGAGCTGCTGAAGCCCAATTATGAACCACAACACATCTACTAAGATGTTAATGACTGTGATGATGATTATATGTTGAAGATCTTAGAAAAATGGCCAAAAAATCAGATAAAACTGAATTTAATATTCCTATGATATTGAGGGAGTAATTGTTACTTTTGCAGTGTTACTGGTAATAACTTAAAAAGAAGGTACTAAGTAAGCT